AAAAACTCTCCTTTCCTACAAATTCGTATTTTTGATTTGAATTTTGTTCGTTTTCTTTCATTCCGCTCGCCAACATCCTCTCATTCTCATAGATTAAGCAAACTGTACGGTACACGTCTCATTTGTTTTCAATTTCATTTATTTTCTTATTACTTTCAATTTCTTCTCTCTTTTTTTTTATTTTCATCACTTGTAGAAAAAACTGAGTCCAGTTCCCTATTGATTGTTGAATAGGAGCACTTCTTTTTGAAATCCAAATAGCTTAGTTTAATGAAGGAGTGTGTATCAGAATTGAATGATTTTTCCCTGCGACGAGATTACATAAGTTAAAGTAGAAGAAGACTGTCCTTGTCTCTGGGATTGTCGAAATCATTAGAAAACATGGTGACGTCATTATCCATTCGTTTTTTACCATCTTTCTGACAAAAAACATAGATATGATGTTTGAAAATGTTTTCGGAAAGAAAAAATAAAAAGCGACAAGGGCCCCTGCATGAGCAAGAGAAATGAGAGTTTTCCAACCGTTCTGTTCATCCGAGAAACGGACAGACAGACCAACCGGCTGTCTGCATTAAAATTGTAAAAATTATTTGACGCGTGCGTCACGTGACTTTACGGGGCACGCCAATCTATAGTTGTCAGATTAGAACCCCAAAAAAGCCCGAAAAAAAAGCAATTTTTGGCGTTGTAATTACTCCGTCAAAGAAAATATTGTCGCTTAAGTTATAAAATATGAGCATAAGTTTGGTCATATTGCTTTCTTTATGGCGCCTTTTTATAATCCTTTTGTCAGCTGGCATCACTAGGGGTTTTGTTGTGCTTCCTTTGATTTCAGGACAATAATGACGGAAGTGAAAGACTAAATAGGCTGATGAACTTTTCTATTCATCTCTAAGTCTTGTTTATCTTGCTTTGCCCATTTTTTCTCGGAATCTTTTGGTATATTCCTGCGGAACCGTCAAAAGATGTTTCCCAGCCAACGGTATGCCCAATAACCTTGCCGTGCCATTCTCGTGATGAACGTCAAAACATGAATTTTGGCTGAAGGTTGTAAAACATCCTATTCAGAGAAGGAAAGAAAAAAAAGGAAATCAGGATGACGAAAAACTGAAAATTCACAAAATGTTTATACAGTTTACTCACAAGCTGTTCCAATTAGTTTATCGTATAGAATGATATTTCTCTATGAAAAAAGAGATTGAGAGATGTGCTTGTCTTTTCTTCTCTTTTTTCTTCTCTCAAAATCTTCTTGTGATTACGCTTTCTTCTTTAAACGGCAAATCGTACGCATTTCGCGGTTACATGATGATGTTGATGCTTTGTCTTTTTCTCTTAGCTTACGTAGCCCGTGATTGGGTAAGCTAAAAGCCCAGAGCCGGCTTAAGACTAGACGGTATGCTTGGAAATGAGAGAAAGATATTATGAAAATAGCGATGAGAAGAGGGTAGAGATATTGCCGAATAAGGAGGCTGCTAGAAATAGATAGAAGCTGGAGATAGCTATCTGTATGCTTTATATGAAAGTTGGATCAAGCCCCAAAATGATGAAGTGAAGAAGATGCTAACGATGAAGAAGAAGCGGTTGAGTCGCCCTTGGCTTCGTTCACTACCGCCATATGCTGATGTTTCAGCTGCCCTGACCGGCATCTCCATATTTGGCTTAATTTAGCAATTCTAAATTGTCTTGTTATCTTGTTGGAATTTAGAAAACACTTGTGCTCACTTAATGCTCATCCGCTTCTCCCAGCAATCGTTGATCTGAGTTTGTTGATGTTTATGTATGCTAAAGCCTGATTATTTCCTCCTTTTAGCAGCTTTTGATTGTCATCGTCGAATGATTTCATAGTTTTCCTTCATTTCTCCTTTCTTGATTTAATGAACACTCGAGAAAGAGCTCTGTTGTGGCCGAAACAGCTATCTGATTGCCTCACAATTTGTAATTTGGGTATAGTTCACTATGATATTTGAAAACGTTTCCGTCTCCCTCACCTCAGAAGCTACAGATTTTTTTTTCTGGTTTTTTTTCCAGTTTTGTTTACATATAAAGAGATTTCTTTACTACATATTTATCTGTTTCACTTCAAGATTTGTTCTTGGACTATCATAGGGGTTGATTAGACTTTGCTGATGGTCAGTTGTTCAGTCAAGCCTTCAATGGACGAAAAAAACCGGACCAATCGCTAAATATCCTTTCTCTCATCTTCTTTCATCACCATTCTATTCTGAATATCTTTTCCCCTTTTAGTCTTCACAGCCAATTGGCTTCTTGCCTTGTAGTAGACTAGTACATGGTTTTGCTTGCCATATTTGGAATTTCAACCTTCGTGGTCTTTAAATGGATTTACAAACAAGAAAGTCCTAGCAAGGTCCAGTTTCTTGAACAGCACTCGCGTCAGTTACTGAATGTCCATTCCTTAGGCGTAGTCAAGCATGATCATTCTAGGAAACTATTCCAATTTTCACTAAATCCCAGGAGAACCTCTAAATCCTCTGACTTTTTGATAATCCTATAAGTTGCCGTTACGTATTGAATTACAAATACATCCGTAGAAACCTGTTTTTCATAAAACGCAGACAGTCTGATTTACGAAGAGTTTAGTCGAATGGTCCCATGGAAAATATAAGAGAGAGATATCTGCTGAATTGAAACGAAGACAAGCTAAATGCTTGAACACTTTGAGTTTGTGTCAAAGTCAAGATCATTTCCCGCTGTTTTCAAGCTTTTAACGAGGATTACACAACATCGAATTATGTCGTCAGTCTTGCTGTTTGATTAGGACGGTTTACATTATTAAACTAGCTTACATTATAGTTAGTTTTCTGTAGATCTACAATGAACGATGAATATCAGGAAGCTTTACAGCTGATCTCATAGCTTTTCGATCAAAGAGCATAGCATGATCGCCATGAATATAGCCTGAAGTCAGGATAAGCAAACTACTTTTCTCCAGCCAAATCTTCAGCTGTTACGTACTCTTTATATTACACCTAATTTTTTTCTCGCTTATTCTCTCTTCATTACTTTCCGTTCGAATTGTTCATTCAGATAGATATGTAAGGAAGAATTGTCGTGTCCTCTATGGGGCTCGCTTGATTCTTTCCAAGACTATATGGATGAAAGAGAGAATAGAGTCGGACAAGTGAAGGACCGGTTTCTGAGCCGGATCCCTTCGTTCGCTTTCTTCCTCTTCATCTTTTCTCTTTTTCCTCGTTGCCCTCTCCATCAGTCTCAATCTCTCCTTCTGTTCGAATAGTTGTGCCCATCCTAATATCTCGTACTATTCGTCTTTTAAGGCGCATCTATCTGGCCATCCGTTCTATGAGTTCAATCTTGTACATCAACACACCTTTTTTGTCAAAAGGAGAGCTTATATTCGATTCTTTGGGTTCGAATGTCTTTCATCCTTTTTTGCCTTTCAAGACTGCAAACTGTGATTATACTAAGCCAGTTCATCTACATCAAGTACGTGCTGAAGAGTTTGTTATGAACCTTTCAAACACATATTAAATCTCTCGTAGAGATGTTAAGAACGGAAAAGTTTCAAAGGAGGATTAATAGGACTCGCACTATAGAGAAAGAATTCCTATATCTGGTCCCACAAGAATGAATATTTAAAAAACTTTTCGAACTTAAAATAAAGAGGTTCAGAGATAAGGAAAAGAGAGGGGACGGCTTGAGAAGTTCGTAGGCAGTTCAGATCATCAGTAGATCGAACTTCACTTTCCCTTCTTGATCTGCTGACCCCCGAACTGATTTGTCTCATCAATTTCTTCATCCGTTCGTGTTACGTCCGAGAGATATGGAGACAACTTGTGGTTCATCATGAGCGCTCTTAGAAGAAAGTTTAATAAACGCTATTCAAACCTTTGATCAGCTTTTCCTTCTGGGAAAGATTGAAGCGTTACCACCGGTGCACAAAGAACTCCGTAGTTGAGACTCCCTCATCGAATCTGGGATAAGGTTCTTCCTTCGAGGCCTTGGTTCAGTCTTGTTCCGGTCGGCGGAGGCGGGTCTGGTCGTCGCGCGTCCATCACCCTCCAGCCCCTTCTGTCGTCGTTGTCGTCGTCGTAGTGTCGCTCGACAGACGCTCTCTCTCGTCGTCGTTGCCGCCACCGTCGTCGTTAATTTTTCTCCGCCCCAGGGGCAGTTTCTACGTCCTCTTGGAAACGAATTTTCTACTTTCTTATTTGGAGAGCTGTCGGCTGTTGAAAAGGATATTCATTGAGCAGTTTGTGCTTTTGCATAGGTTATTAATCTGCTAAGAAAGGAAGTACAATTGGAACATTCACCAATATTCGCTACCTAGAATAATATTCCCTCATTCTACGAGAGGAGTTTTGTCTGCTTTTATACGTTTTTCACGTTCTCGTTTTTCTCTGATTGCAATATTCCGTCAGGCTTCTAGCATTCCTGTCTGAATTGGTCAGCTGATCCCATCGTTTGACTCACTTATTATCAGTTTCTGAGTCTCGACGGCCCTGCTGTGGTCTGTTTACGTGTTTGGGCGGCTAGCAAACCAACTCCACCCCCTATAGTCACAACCGGCCATTGTTTGTTGTGTATAGCTGGCTTCCTCTCATTCTCTCGTCTCGTCTTCGTTTTTAAGTCGTTGTTCGACATTCGCCTTCTATCCGCGTCGATAGTTTTCTCGTCCGGATTTCAGCGTCACCATAAGCAAAACGTTGTGGTCCCCTTAACCTCCGGGTTTTTCTACAATTTTTTTTGTCAACTGGTCAAACGCACTCAAACTGTGTTCGAATTGTTGCTTGAATACCTCGGACCTACCGGTTCGAAGACAGCGAACCGCCACGAGACCAGTTAAAGCCGATCCGGTTTCGGAAAACCCTTCAACGTCTTCAACTTGTACACGTGCTCCTAGAATACATTACTCGTGCTGCTGTTCATCATCGCCGAGTGGCTCAAATAGTTCCTGTGATTCGGAGCTTACTTGTTCATCGGCTAATATTCTGTGTCCATCCGCTTGTTCCAATTACATCCGCATGGCCACCTCATCTTCAGCCGTTTCACGTTGTTTGGCCAACCTCTCAACATCCGTTTCTGCTGCAGCAGCTCTAAGCACCGATACCTTAGCAGCTTTCGCTCAGCAACCATCGCCTCTAGCTGCCGGCAATCCCGTAAACACCTCTCATCAACAATTTATGCAAGAACGTCTGAGACATCTCCGTGGACATCGAAGCTCACCCATTTCTCTACCATCGGGTAGAATAGTTCGGAGTTCTAAAAGATCAGCTATTTCCACGTCAACAACTTCCGGAACCAATAGCAATTTTGAAGATGACGATAGTCTATTTGAGTTACGAAGACAAATTCCTACTGAACATCAATTCCATTTTGTACTAGCTTTAGCACATCTACAACAACTTTGTTCAGGTGAAGTTTCATTCTATTTTTACTTTGTCGATTTTCTTTCGATTTTTTATTATTGATTTTGTTGATTTTAAACCCATTCTGGACTCTTCTTACTTTGATTCTTCCTCTCCATTTCGTTTTCTTTTCGTGAAATTCCATTATCCCTTTTCAATCCATATAGCCTCAAACTCTCTTTCATTCATTCCCATTTCATATTTTCTTTCTCGTCTTCCCTTACCTCCATCCGTTCCGTTTTCACCTTCGTCGATTCACCTTCTTCCATCTCCTGCCGACCCAGCCAACGTGTCCTACTCTCACCATTCGTCTCTTTTCGCAGCACGTCAACTCTCTCTTTCTTTCTCGGACCAGAAAAGTATAATTGGGGCCCATGACGTACAGAAGTCATCGTCTTCCTCTTGTATCCAGAAGACCAGCTCGTCTTGTACGTTATGAGGAAAATACGAAAGAGGAACGATATTAGCGTTCATTTTAATAGACAGAGAGTTTATGAAAAATAGAGAGTGTTGAGGAACAGTCTGTTTCGTTTCCTGTTCTCGGTCTCGTATAGCTTTTCGATGTGCCAGAAGTTTTTCGATTGCTTTTCTTCCTCATTCACCCATCATCATCATCAGAACAGTGAGAAGAAAAAGAGAAAGATTCACTTGTCATTGTTGGAATAACTGGTTATGAAAGCTACTGAAGCTATTCCTCTCCTCGTTCTTTCCACTTTTCTCAATGTTGGTTAATTTTCAATCTACCTTGTCTCTTTGTACTTTCGACTAAAACAAAGACCATTTTTGAACGAAAGGGGAAGTAAGAAAAACTATCGTTCAAGTTAAGGATTTGACGATTTTCATCCGTCCTGATGATCTATGTTCATTCTAATCTTCCAACAGATTTTATCGAAACATTCTATTATATTGTATTGTTTGAGAGACAATTAAATTGGGAGATACCTAGATCCTAGGAATGGAAGTTTTCTTTTTGAAATATCATTGTCAACTTCCAAATAGACATAGCTGACCTGGAGATGGGTGTTCATCTTCTCTTTCTTGATGCATTTTTCTTTCACTTAATTATCTAAGAGGTACATGATCTTCATTTTTACAAGGAACTTTCTCCCGCTCCAATATATCACCACATGTTATTACTATTTGTTCTGACGGTTGAGATGTAGAAAAGGGAACTTATGGAAGAATGTGTTAGTGGGAGTAGCTAACTGGCTTTCTCTTAGGCTAAAAACATAGCTGAACTATTAATCTGTCGCTCGTTTAAAATAGGAAAAAAAACTGTGAAAGGTCATGTAAAGCTCTGTGAGAAGCCAAAGTAATGCTGAGAAATCAATGCTTTATGCTTGAAATGGTTCACATGTTGAAATTGAAGGTAAACGAGCCGACAGCTTGATTCCCCTCTTCGCAGGATTGTAACAAACGACTGTAATTTTTGTAGTTTTCCAGCTATTTTAAACTATTTATGAAGAGATCTTGCGTTTCATTGATATTACACAATACCTCATGAAGCGTTTGAATCTGATTCTTCCACATTCCGTACACACACTTTGCTTTCCAATACTTCATTGAAACTGCTTTGAAAGACTCATCTGTAACCCTCGAGGGATTGTGGAAATGTCAAAATATTGACGTTAAACATGTAGATTCTTTAATTTCACTCGTTCTCAATTCAATTGAGTTGGAATTATTCATTCACTACGAAAGGAAAAACGACTAACCACGATACCAGTGTTAATCAGTTACATGAACTGCTTGGGTGGATTCGAAAGTCTTCAAAAATTTAAAAATAATTGACAGAACGATGCAATTGGTTGTTCTTATTATCCCATTTGATCGTTTCTCGTTGATTTCACTTTCCAAACTAGGGATAGGAAGATTCTCTTTCTTTCTCTTTATTCATCTCTCAAAGTATTTGGTGTAACCGTAGACAATTCATTCTCGTCGTTCAGTATTGATGATCTGAATCTGGGAGCGTTTGATCAGAAAGATGTTTTGAGTTAAGGAGGTAGTTTGCGAAAACTTTAACATGAAAGATTGTTTTGAAATAAACAAAAAAGGAACTTTATCTTATCAGTTGTTGATTGTATAACATTTTCATTTACTTTGGAAGTTAGAAACACACAAGTTTTCTGTTCTCAAACAGTGTTGTCTACTTCCTTTTCGAAATTTGATATACATTGAACGACATCATCTGTTTGTATGTTTGAAATCATATCATGCAGGGATCAAAAAGCTGTGTTCTTCACGGGTTTTCAATTTTTTCTGTTATTTTCGAACAACACAATTCGCTTATGAACAACATATTGGGGACAATACACGATGGAAAGGTGAAAAGTATGAATATTCCTTAACTATCTCTTTCTGAATTCAAATATTTATTCAGAAATTTCATGTAATTCAACCAGTTTCTGGAGATTCTTATTACGAATTTCAGCTTCACCCTTTCACAAACATTTACATATCATACACACTATCGATTGATTCAGTTCTGCTTTTACGATTTGCATAACTCACGTGAGGTTTCGCTCGCAAAATTCTCAAGTGTGTAGAATGTGTTCACGTACAATCCTTTCTCATTGCTCATTTTCTATACACACATAGCGGTTGCATTCTAATTAAGTTTTTTCTCTGACGCTCTGTCTTTCCCTCTTTATATCCTTTCTCTCTTTTCTCTCGACTGTTCTCGGGGTTTACGCCTGAGATTCCGCTATTGCATTCTTTTCTCTGTTTTCTAGCTCTCATAACAGTTTTTACTGTTGTGCTTCTCCAGCTCCTCATCGGCGTCTGACGTCACGTCTCACATATTACAACCTGTCCGCCTGAAAACGATGAACCGGTCTTCCGGAAAGCCTTCGTAGCACGTAAGCAATCATCACAGCTTATTCTGCTTATCTTGACCTCATGATTTCTTTTATTTCCGCGTTTTGCCCTCTTTTTTTCTCGTTTTCTTCCCTTTTCGGACATTGCGAAATTCGCAAAACCGGAAGATCTTGTTATACACCGGTCACTATTCCGGCTTTCTTGTCCCCGATCCGGCCATTCTCATCTTAAATAGACGACGATCGCTTTCTCCGTTTTGCTTTCAACATACAAGTGAATCTATACAACCAACCCTCGCTATAGCAAAAAGGGGGATTCCGCAATAAAAAATGAAGGAGAATCAGGGTATTCCCAGCAATTGAGAATTTGATTGAATCGCCCTTTTATCGGTTGAGCGAAATCAATAAAAATTAAAGAGGATATATTCTTTTTATATTGTTATTTTCTTCTCAACCAGTTGAAGCTGATGTTTGACTCAAAAGAATTTTCTGCCTCGTTTCTCGAAAATAGGGGATTACCGATCATTCATTTTTGTTTATGCCCATATATGGCTTGATTACAGATGACAGACAATAACTATAATTGAGACTTCTCTCTCTTTAATCTTTCGTTATTTGAAAAAGAAAATAAAAAATCGAAAAAAACGTTATTTTTGAAGCCCTGAAGGCAGGTTAAACACCAGAAACATCATCTATAAAGAAGCTTTTATTTGCTTTGCTTGATCATTCGACGATGACAGGAAGAGCGACTTGTTCAAATTCTCTCTTTCTCTCTCTTTTGTTTCTTTTCAACTTCTTTCGTTTTTACGCAAATTGTCCGGAAATCTTTATTAAGTTGAACAGATTTTATCTTTTCTCTCACAGTTTGTTTCTCTGTTCGCTAATGCCACCAACAAGCAAGACTGTGGCTGATCCACAAAGTGAGGATACAACTGGTGGCGCCGTTAATATCATTGGATATTTCGATATTGCGCTCATCAATCGGAATGGAAGAGATTTAGTTGTATCAAGAAGTGAATTTTTATGCAATTTTCCTCATGTTTACTAAGTTTGACTTTTCTGATGACTAGTTGATGACAACAGATAGCTAGACGTGAAAAATACGAACTAAGCTAGATTTAGAAGCAGAAGATCAGAAAAGAGGAGCTTTGAACACAATCACTGAAGTTTGTACTCGTGTGAACGATCTTTTCTGATTAAAACATGGGAATGATATACATAAGTCTGAAGCCCATGTTGTTCTATCAGCCCTTGGCTGGAAGTCAACTATGATGGATCTAGATGAGGATCTCTCGCATCCCCACCCTCTTTCCATCTTTAATGAAGTAAAACTACTTCTCAACTTCTCCTCCTCTATTCTCCTAAATCTTTCTGCTTCTACTGCAAATCATCATAGTCTCTAGTTCTTAGTGAATGGAAATCCAGAGACTTTTAACGCTCAGAGCATTTTGGACTTTTTTTTTCCAGAATTCTTAATTATTTTTTATTTTTTTCTTTTTCAGTCTCACCAATCGGTGATTCTTGTACAGCAGCTTCATCTACTAATCTAATGCCAGCACCACGACATGACCGAAGATATGATGCCCAACGTGTTAGCCAAGCTAGATGTACTCGGAGCCTTTCACCTGCCCATCCCCACAGAGCTGTGAGTTTAATTAATTTTTCTAATTTCGCTTGTCCTCATTTGCAATTTTCGTCAGCGACTTATACTCATAACTGCAGTTGACTTCCAAAAAGATATATTTTGTCTTTTAAAATATTGGAAGTTTCATATTGATTTTCCTTTCTCCAGCCGACAGACATCCTCAAAGTTTTGAATTTCTAAATACTCTAATAACCACTGTGGCATTTCCTTTCGTTGTGTTGCGTTTTTCATTCAACCCAGTCCAATTTCTCCACAAAAAAACAAGAAAAAACTTTCATAGATAATGCATTCTTGACATCACTTTTTCCAGAATAATGGCTTAGATGATATGCAAAGACCATATAAATTCGACTTGATCCTTCGAACACCTCCTCCTGATGCAAGTACGCAAGAATCCCATGCTTGGAACCCAGAAGATAGGCAAGTCATCATATATTCATATCTTTTCAACCCATTTTTTTCAGGTCTATGAATATTTTTGTTAAAGATGACGACAAATTCACTTTTCATCGTCATCCTGTTGCTCAGAGCACAGATTGTATACGGGGAAAAGTATGTTTTACTTATAGAACAAGCTTTCAAAGTCTTTTTCATTCAGACGGGTTATTCTCGAGGGTTTCATGTGTGGCAATTGGAATGGCCGGGTCGTCAACGGGGAACTCATGCCGTTGTCGGAGTTGGTACTAAAGGCGCTAGTCTTCATGCAGTCGGATACACATCTTTGATTGGAACTGACGAGGAAAGTTATGGATGGGATTTGAGTATGTTCTTTCATCTGAGTTCCCATTTATAAGATTGGATTTGTTTAGCTCGAGGTGAATGCTACCACGATTCAAAACATTGTGCTCCATGGACTTATCCAATGGATGTCAATGGTAGAAGTGGAGACGATTATTCTGTTCCTGATAAGGTAATTGTCATTTTTTAACGATTTTAACTGAAATGCTACCCAGTTTTTCTGCATTCTTGATATGGATGAGGGATTCTTAGCTTTTGCAACGGAAAAAGACTATCTCGGAGTTGCCTTCAGAAATCTTAAAGGAAAAACTGTTTATCCAATTGTGTCAGCCGTCTGGGGTCACTGTGAAATCACCATGAAATACCTAGGAGGACTTGAACGTGAGCCAAACTTTTTCGATTTTTCACATTTTCCATTCTCTCCAAATCCCTGGAGACCCTTTAGGTCGTCTTGGGTAGAATTCTCTCCAGACGACGATAAAAAACCGCCAACCGCCAAAGCAAATGACCAGTATGATCCACGAAATGAGCTATTTGGTCCTCCATTAGGAGAAGACCGTTTTCCTGCCCCTTTGATAGATTTCAAATATCTTTGGCCAGCAGTTTTCGATGAATGATTCAAGAGAAAGATTCTAAGAGAGCTTTTTCCTCCGTAAATTTTATGAACAAAGTTTGGCATAATACAGAAGTAATGCTCGTGCAGTGGCTTTACTCCGCCGAAATACGACTTGTTTTGGTTTTCAGTCTTTTGATACCAATTCGAGTAGTGTGTTCAACATTTTCTTCGGAATTCTCTCAAGTGCTGTCTTGGCATAGCGGTTTGAGGATTTCTTCGTCGACCACCGATTGTGGCTTGTCTTGGCTCATTTCGTCTGTTATGCTCGTAATTGTTTTGTTCAGTTTTGTCTTGTTTTTTTTTCACAAAACGACAGTTCTGAGATGCCAATTAAACGTCAGCATCTACTCAAAAGACGCTGTTGTTTCATCATTCAAAACTCTTTCGCCAAAAATGTCAGCTATTCTGTATATATGGTTTTCATTTCAGCGCAACCTCGAGATCTTCTGGAAATTTGTCGAAATAAGATCCGTCGTGAATTGGGTGTAACTCGTCTAGCTCGTGTGGATGAACTTCAAATCCCTCCTCGATTGAAGCAATATGTCGTCTTTGGATGAATGGCTCATCATGTATCAAACAGTTTTTGGCTTTCGATGTTCGTGATCGCAGCTTCAGTTGTCCAGCTTCGTCCGCCAGTTTTTTGCCAAACTTTTTATCTTCAAACTAACACTGCCCGAATTTCTTGAAGAAAGAACTCGTCCCAAATGCCAATTCCAGTTTTTTCCCAATTAAAATCATGGTATATCAGAAGGCTGAGAAGATTTCAGTAATCTGAGCTAGAATCTCTAACGATCAAGCTCAAAAGGTTTTTGTTGCCATGTCTCTCTTTTCCACAGTTTTTATTTTAATTTTCTCTTTTGGCCAGTCCTTCAGCCCATTGATCCTTTCTTTTCCACGGGTCATCTTGTCTACCTAATCATATGCACATACGTTCAAAATGGCCTTCCACTTGCTCAGTCCCTTTGTAATATCGTCTAATGTTGTCCTAATCCTCAGAGAATTATTTCACATTCGCCTCTTTAGTCGAATATTAATTTACTAATTTTTGGGATTATAAACTCAGATTTTCACAGCATTTCTTCACATTCCTTGAAGACTTGTAATTTCTAGTTCTAACCTCATTAACCTCTTCTTCAGAATTTACTCACATTTTTCTGAGTTTTCGTCTACCCCACTCTCCGGCTTTATCTTATCGGTGAATTTTTGTATCAAAATGTCTCCCCTTATACATACTACCCTAACCCCCACCCCAAAGTTTTTAAACTTTTCCATGCATTGTCCCTTGACCTGATACTCAAATTGTCCATGTTTGTATTTTCATAACATGTACATCATCAATTTGTATTAATGTTGTATAGAACTATATAGTTTAGTCCGGTTTCGAATAGGTAGAAGGCGTGATCCAAGCCACCTACACCTTTCACTTTCTTTCACTTCATCCTATTTTTTGGGAAGTCTTTGCACAAGATGTTTTATAAGTTGCGCGTGGTGTCCGGGTCTCGACCAATTTTTTTTTTGCCACTTGTTTCCAAAGGCCTTATTAACGTTTTGACCCGGCTACATCGTGCCATAAGTAAATCTGTAAATGAATTTTTAAAAATCATTCCGTTTTCATTCATATGCAAGCTGAGACCAAAACAGTTGGGTAATATTGGATTTGAAGTTGTCCATTATCAGTCTACAGATATTGTATGTCTTATGAAACATCCTAATCAATGTTGACTTCCGTGGAATCGCGGTTCAAAGCAGCCAGAAAATATGTAGTGTTGTGCATGAACTTCTATGAGCTTTGGTTCAAAAGAAAATTGGGAAGGATACATTTGTGCTGAACAAAGATTATTAATATGATTCTAGATCAATCTTGAATACATATGCATCAGCAACAAACAAACCTGGAGGCGGGCACGAGGTGAATCTCAAACTAAGGGAATTTCTAACCTAACGAGAATGCTCGAGATTCTCACACTACTTAGCTTTGGAAACTAAGAAAAAGTTTCTAAACTACCATACTTGAAGAGGTACTCGGACTCAGTTTGCATCAACTGTTCGGTCCAATACAGCCATTTGAAAGGATAGGAAGTGAGGCAATAAGTTTGACTAGTTCATATAGGTTTATTCAATGAACCCCAACAAGCAAACAAAGAAAAATAAATAAATGATTTAAAATCTGAGGAATAATGTGTTTTTTTAAAGTTCATCATGGTTTTCTGAACCTGGAACAGACTCGTACTTAACTTCTCCGCCGGCTCCTTCTTCGGTCTGAAACATCTATTGAGTTTTAAGTTTAGTAGAAAAAATAGTGACCTCAATAGAAATCCAATCGTTTTTGGGTCCGAGTCTAACACCAGCTACAACCTTCTTACCGTCAAGGATATTAGCTGAGACCTTCCAGTCACCCTGAATGAATATAAGTTTCAACAGAAGGTAGAAGATAATAAGATTATGTCAAGTTGAACTGTCATTATCAGGTTATGTTTGGTTACCATTATACTGATAAGTATCAAACACTTGATAAAGCTCACCCCAAGTTGAGGAATTGGCATTGGACCAATATCAATGAGATCTTGAGATACAATAAGAGACAAGTCAATTGGCCCTGGGGTCTTGTTGCCCAATAATCCGCATTTTTCTCCAGCAATTTTACAGAAGTCAAACTTGCTGAAGAATTTGTTATCTTAGAAAAGACACAGAAGAATTCTCACCAAAGTTCGTTGGGAACAAACTGGTTCTTACTAACTCCATTTTCGCAAACAACTCCGATGAGCCATGATTGTTTCTCAACATTCAAAACGAGTTGAAGAGGCTTGTTGGGATTTTCCTTGACTCCTTCCTTGATGTTCACTTGTCCTTAATTATTTTCCATTGATATTGCTGGAAAATTAAAAAGAAACCTTTCGCGACTTTGAAATGTCCGGGAAGGAGGAAGTTGGCTCTTCTCTTGGCGGAAGATCCGACACAGGATGGTTGTTTGTCTTTATCATAAGTCCAGATCTCGACACCCTCAAATATGATCTTTCCCTTTCCTAGAAACTTTCAACATGACTGTACTGACAGTAAAAGAAAGATAAACCGTTGGTTGTGTCGGTTACTTTAATGACATTATCAACTCCATCCTTGCAAGCCCAAGATATTGCCGAACAGGAAAGGAGGACTATGGAAAGAAGTCGGAACATGCTGAAGTGTATTTTTTGAAAACATTAAGTGACGTCAGAACGACATCGTCGTTGAAGCCATTAAAAGCCATTTGTACTGGATATACAATGAGAGAATTTAAAAAGGAAACAACAGAAACTCGTACTAGAGAAAGATTAAGAAGTGGTACGGGAAGGCAAATGCGAAATGGTGTAGCAGAAGCTAGCGAGGCGGGCAAAAGTAATTCGAAGTACACGTTTCATAAGTGACTTTGTAAACTTTCTTATCAATAGCGTCCAAGAGGGCAAGAACGAGAAGACAAAAGAGAAGCTTGAGAGAGTCCGAGCTCAAACTTGATGGAGGAGAGGGTGATAGGAAGAGTTGTGTATATGAGATAGAGAGAGAGAACGGTAGCAATAAAATGTTTAAATTCCGTTTGATCTTCGAAATACATCGTTCCCATGGCAGAGAATTAGAGAAAAGATAATACTTATCTATGCCAAACAGGTCAAACAGGTAATTCATTCGTAAAAGTATTCAAATATTCGCTTTGAAGACTAATTTTCGAAAGTGAGCACTCTTTCGTTACCAAATAAAGCAAGTAGCATAACATAACATTTTATTTTTAGTTTGTCGAAACTAAAATGATGACAATAGTAGGCATCAATGGTTATCAAATAAAATATTTTATTTATTCGTTTTCGATTCTTCCAATCGATTGAATTTCGTTTCTGTAATTACCGCCGACCAAGTCCAATACCTCCAAGTGTATCGAAAGCTGATAATGCTCTTTTGTCATCAGCGGAATGTCGTCCTGAATGTTCTGCTGTACTTTATGGGAAGACAATGATGAACAAACCATTTGAATGAGCAAATGGCATGGCAGATCGTTTGTTGTATGGATCTTCCTCTATCCAAATATACCCATTCTTCTTTAAATCCGGATCGATCTCAGGTTCAAACGAAGCTCGCTTGCCCAACCCTACAAAGAAACATTTTCTTTGTTGTTTTAGCTTCGGCGAAGAGTTCATTTTTGATTTGTCTGTTCGTGTATCTGACAAATGGTTCTCTACTTCCATCCACGCAAAAGATGTTTTGGAAAGCTTATGAGCCTATTAAGCGTTCATCAAAAATGAATAAACAAACCTATTCCACCCAAAGTATCAAAATGTGAGATCGGAGCAGGTCGTTTTCCGAGTCCTGAAAACAAAGAGGAATAAAGGTTTTTTCAACAAAAAATTTCAATTACCAATTCCTCCCAATGTATCGAATGCGCTGAGTTGCGAACGTTTTCCAAGTCCTGCAACAGAAAGGTAGTTTAAAAATGAATATATAAGGACACCTTACCGATTCCTCCCAATGTATCGAAAGCGCTGACAGCTCGTTTATGATCTAATCCAGTATTGTCCAAGCTAATGGGTGTAGCCAATGTCTGAAGAAGAAGAATAGATGACAATCTGTCTCACAGTAAATGAGACAGAATGGATAAAGCAAAACTAACTAAACGCATAGCCGAATCCACAAAAATCAGGATCGCCAGAAATTCCTTGGACATTGTTGTACCTAAATGAATGAAAAACGTTGTTGAACAAGCAAAAATGTGAATGAATAAGCGAAAAAAGAAACAGTAAATATAGAAAAATTTTGATGAAATACTAATTGTTTTTGGTAAAACTCTCGTTCTCTCCTTGCCTCTCTGGGCAAATCGTGTATTTGCAGATTAGGAAGACGTAAAATTCATATTAATCTTGTAATTTTCCAAATATTTTCATCAAATTCATATTCGTATTCATACAGATGGTTTTGCATTGAATGAAAATGTTTTAATAAGATGATGATATAGGCAAGAGGAAATATGGAAAATGCTTTGGTCGGATCAGAATCGGAAATGATAAGACGAATTGCTGGAGCTATATATGTTAGTTCTCTCAAAGTCTCTTTTCATTATAAATTTATGAAAAATCTATATGACTTTAACGATACTTAGTGGAATAATGGAAAACAATAAGCTTTTCCATTTCTCAAAAGAAATAGCTGAGCAGAGAAAGAAGATCGGATAAGGTGATGCTATATGCTACAGCCCATTTGATTTGACAAGACCTCGTGCTTGAGAAGCTTTAAATAGAGATGTAAAATAGAAATTGTCTTTGTTGCGTTCATTCAAATATTCCAAATATGGAATTCTTCGAATATTCGTTGTAAAAATAATTATTGAGAAGAGATAACATATTTACAAAAGGAAGAAGATTCACATGTCATTGTGGAATCTCTAGATGGACTATCAGCATGAGATATATCTTTAGATTGTATATTATTTGTTTTTTCTTATAAAAATGAGAATAGAAAGAAACAAATAAATCTTAAAATACAGGAAGATTGAGGAATGGATGATAAACATGGCCTTCGATGGAATTCTTCTCTCTCTCTCTCTCTCTCATTCTCTTTCTCTCACCATCAAGCTTAACCTTATGAATGTTGCTGAAGATCAGGTAGTAGGAAAAGAATATTCATCATATCCTTCACGAATAAATTGGTGAAGGTTCGATGAAGCCATGGAAGGGTTACTGAATTTCTTCAAAAACTGAAGGAGGTAAAGGATTGTGGGAATCTTTTATCAAATGAACTGAATCCTTTTGAGAGCCGAATGAATGGAAGTCTGTGAAATTCGTTCAATGAATTGAAAAATTTCAACTGGAAATCTAAAAAAAGTTTTTCACCTCTTATATCTCAGTTTGTGTTGCTGTTGCCTCTTCATTTTCCATATTATTTTTGAATTATTTTGTCTTTCTGACTCTCTTACTGATTTAGAACATCCAGAGATAGAAAGCCGGATGACGCAAAACTAAAATCTCTAAGTGGGATGATAGTTTGAGTCTTCACCTCCGATTTCACATCATTATGAGCCATTTGAAATATGTATGGAATCCTCAAGAAATCGTTTTGCTGACCAATTTCGAGAAGGATTTTGTACGAGAAGCCATTTCATCAAAAGGAGAAAGGAAATTATTGTCAATTTCACAAATCACATCAATTGGATAAGGACGTGAACTTAGGAACTTCCTATTAGCTTAACCTTTTAAGGAGAACCGAAGTTTCTGTTTGAGTTTCAATCCATTATATATTACTTTGGAACAGCAAAAAATGGAAATGAACTTTTCATTTTGACGATGAACAACCAGTCTCTGCGTCCTCTTGGTGTGAAATGAAATTGTTCTTTTCTGCGTGTACAAACACGTATGCAAATGTACTGTGAAGTTTTGATCAAAAGCATATCATGCTCGTCCTTACATCTCTCAAGCTCGTTTAATACAATCTTGAAGAATAAACTTATATTCATTCTTAAAAGTTTAATGGGAAAGTTGTTGAATTTCGTTGTTTTTCCAAAAGCCTTTTACGGCGCTAATGACTGTTCATTTGGTAGAACTCATTTCTTATTTCCTTTTCTGGATATATGATCAGATTTTCATTGAAGCTTGTTACTTTTCTATAGACTTCTATTTGACCGATGTTGTCTTCAAGTATGCATGTATAGCGAACAGTCTTCCATGAAAGTTCTGTTCTCTGTCAAACGAAAAAGCTGTAACGACATAGCATTGTTGTTTGAAGCTTAATACTTTGAGTATTGAGTGGGAATTGGGATCAAGTTATTGGATGATAAGTCTAAGAAGCATAATAATCTTAACTTTTCCGTTTTCTTATCTTGAACTGAGAAAATGTTTGCGTTTTGTTTCAAAGGAACTTCGAGTAAAGAATGTTTCCCCAAATAGAAGCTAACAATACAAATCTCTTCATCTTTCATCGTTGCAACCATTCTTCATTCATTGCTAACTTCAATCCAACTAAGTCCCTTCTCTCTTTTCTCTCTTTGCTTCTCATCTCTCCAGTTACTTCTTGTTTCTTTCCTACTTTCATGTATTTTCTGAGCATCTCTGTACTTTCACTACTATTTCGTTATTCTTCTTTTTCTTTTCCCTTCATCTTCTTCACTTTTCTTTTTTAAGCAGAACTTCAGGCAGCTTTTCCTTCTTTCCAGCCCTTAGGGTCGCATTGATTCTCTGTTTGAGCCAATTTCAGTCAAAATATGACCCGATATGGCTCGACTCTCATGTTACAACACTCACAAAACAACATCCATTCACGCCTCTAAACCCTCTGTCCCCTTGTTTACTTCTCTTTCTCTCATTTTAATTCAGTTTTTTGAGATTCATTCAAATTTCTTTTCTTTCTTCTCGTTTCGGAACTCTCTTTTCCTTTCTTCACTATATTTTTTTCTCGTTTAACTTGAGGTTCAAGCTTCATCACCCCCTTCTCTTTTCTCAGCACTCTTCTCTTCTCAATAATGACATTTTCAGTTCCATTCCCTTTTTTTTATGAAAAATATGTGTTTCCTTATATGCTGCCATCATGTTTTTCTCTTCAACACTATCAAAGAAGCAAGAATGAGAAACTCGCTCCCCTCTTATAGTCTAGTACTTTGCATTTGCATTTCCATTCTTTCTCTCTGGGTTTCAATCAGTTTCAAGCAAACTTTTAATTTGACTATAAATGTAAACATCTGACTTTCCATCAATTCTGGACCATTCTTGGATGAGAAAAGTTCAGAAAGCTAATTGTTTCAAGAAGAAATGAAGCTGAAGCTTTACTAGATTCTCTTGAGAGTTTACAAATCTTAGAAGGAGATCTATGACATCCTCGCTTCTGATGTACCCATTAGCCTCTTTCGTTCTCTCTCACTCTTCTATAGATGTATCTCTCTCTCTGCCTCTATTCATATTTCCCTGTTCATAAAAGGTTAGTTCAAAGAATTTCTCACAGAGACCATTCAAGATAGAAAATGAGCATTTCTTTTTGTGTGTTGAACAGCCTTTGTTATTACTTTCGTTCTCTTTCTCTCTCTATTCCTATTTTTTCTCTCTCTAAGCATTTTTTTTCATTCAGACAATTTCTCTTGAAAGGTTTTGGTGTTTTTTCCTTCTTTCTTCTTTTTTTTTGACTCATTGAACTAAATTATAAAGAGAGAGCTTTGATTTGTAAGTTTCTCTCTCTCATCTCCTCGTTAGTTAGCTCAACCAGACAATCTGTCCAATCATTTATAGAAGCAATTGTAACTAGCATGATTCTTCTTTTCCTCTTGCTCTTCGTCTCCTTCCTCCTCCAAGTCTTCAATCCAATAAATTTTCTGTAAAACATCACAAACAAACTTGCTGCTGTCTAACCCTTTTCTCAATCATTCCAACTTTATTTTTCTTCAATATTTTCATTTTCAGCTTTTCCTTCCGTTCGAATTACGAAAAATTGCTTACCCTTTTAACAAAAATAATAGAAAAGCCGAATGCAGAATGACAGAATGCGATCGTTCTCTTTGAAATAATATTTTACAGCTTTATCAAATTAGCTATGTGAATATTACAGACACACTCTCTTCTTCTATCTATCTATCATTACCTTGTTTTCTGTATTTCCGTTTCATTGCGAATGCTTTCACTTCATGCTTCAGTTATATTCCTTTCCTATCAACAAGACCTGTCTCTCCCTTTCTCTTTGTCTTCATCTCAGCTTTTCATTTCTTCTTACAACACGGTTTAACCTCTGATAAACATGTGCACTTTCATGTTTTTCATGAATTTAATGAGGATATATCAAAAGGCTTAACTGTACTTGTAGTTTTAATGAAGACAATTCAATTACTTCTCCTTCTCCTTCTCCTTCTTCTTCTTCTTAATGACGACTTTCCAATGGCTTATAGTTAAAAGGCACCAAATTACAATCAACCCATCCTTCCTCCACTTAAAGTCGTTGTAGTCATTCGTAATCTTTCAATATTCAGTCTTGTAGTGGCTGGGGGAATAGTCGCACATCCATTGTCTTTTCCGACTGCTTCGATTATCCTCCACATCATGCGAACATACTTCTCAATCTTTTCTGAAGCTTAAAGCATGTCCTGTCAATCGACGAAACTTGACCCCGTGGGTCCAATTTTATTTTCAAACTCTCAGTCTCGACCACTTTTTTGGTAGAAGTTTTAACTGCGCTTTAAAAGTCCTTTCAATGTCACTCTCGTGTGCATTTAGAAAGGAAAAAACATTGTCAAAATGGTGGAGCTTTTATGAAAATGCGTAAACGAAACGTTTCTCTGATCAGTCTTCCTATAAAACTTTCATCTTTCTTTATTTCTCTCTCTCTCATTCTACTGCTCTCTCTCACATTTCTTGACTCTCTCCTCAGAAACTTTTTTTCTCTGCATTGTTTTAACTTCTCTCGTACTCCGATTCAACTTCTACTCCTCTCTGCCAGCTTTTTTCTCTCTCAAACATTTTCCTTGCTAGGATCTGTTGCTCTAATGAGAATTTCCACCACTTTTTCAATCATCGTTATAGATTTTCATTCAAAATATATAATTATTTCATATGTTTTTCTTCAATCTACTCTTCCTCATTTCATATTCACATGTTTTCTTTTTCTATTTCGAAAGACGATTATTCTATTCAGTATTAGCTATAGGATGAATGGCGAGAACAGTTGACATCGAGCATATTTCGGTATAACTCTACTGAGTTAGTTTGAAAATTTTTTTCATTTCTGTTTCAGCACCCCCGTCGACCGGGAATATGTCGAGTTCTTCGTCGTGCCGGTTATTGGAAATGTTTATCATGTACAATACTAATAATCGGATGTATCTTTTATGCTTCGTGGTGCCAAGTTAAACATCTAGCTTATTCAGGCATACAACCACTACTCATGTACGTTACTATATGGGAAGATTTTTCTTATTGAGGCATATTTAGATACCATCATGGACCTTGTGCTCAGGGTTATAACTTTGTTCCAATTGTCTTTGGTTTAATGTTATATATAGTATATCTAATGGAGTGTTGGAATAGTCGTACTCGTTTAGCTGTCATGAAAAAGGTTCGTTGTTTGTAGCTCTTGGACAACCGGTTTGTGTGAATATGCTCCTATAAAAGGAGCTTTATGTTAATTTCCTTGTTTTATAGTTTCAATTGGAATACATAAGTATGACGTTTCATTTACAGGTTCGTGTAGGAGATGCTCACATTTCTTTACAACAAATGAGAGATTCTCTCCCTATCGTTTGGTGGAAAAGTGTTTGTTACCATTATGTTAGAAGAACACGTCAAATAACGAGGTTAGTGAATGAATCCGTTACTATGCTAACTACTTTGTCCTATACTCATTGAAGATATCGAAATGGTGATGCAGTTCCTGCTACTCAAGTTTATTATGAACGGGTTAATTCGCATACGGCTGGAAATGTTTTTCTGTACGATATATGTGGAGTGAAAGTATGGAACAAACTTGAACACTTAAAAGTAACTTTTTCATAGGATATATCAAAGAATGTCATGGACTTGGAGAAGTTCCCTCTAACCAGAATTCGAGTAACACGTGGTTTCGTTTTTGCATGTATGCAAGCTGCCAATGAGTTCGAAGAACAGCGAGCTCGATTTTTCAACGAGAATGAAATTCGAGATGATTATATGGAGGTAATAAATATGGTAATCTATGATGTTATAATGGTTTTGATGTAAGGTTCGCGAGGGGATGGATTTGTCCGAACTACAATTCAACGATGAGCTCTTATGCTTCAACTCCAAATCTCCTCCCTGGTTCTTGAACCCATTTTTATTTTGGTTCTCCTCAATTTTCTTACTATCTTGGCCGTTACGGTTATTTGCTGAATGTCGAACAGCTGTGCTCAACTACCAAGTGACCAAATTGTTTGGAACAAATTATTTGAGGTTTGACATCTTTTTTTCCATCTGTAGTAATTTGAAAAAGCAGAACACTTCAATAGTTAAGCTCCCATAGGGCTATACATTAATCACACTTAAGACTACTTTTGGCATCTATCTAGATCGAATGACAACTGTCTTAAGCTTAATCCTCTTCTGCTTTTTCCTTCTTTTCTCTTCTAACTTGAAAATCATTTGCAACGAGAAGTTGGAAGTGTTGTGAAAACAAAGTGAACTTCACTTCCTTCGCCATTCAAAGCAATACATCTTCAAGCTTGAAAACATGCATTTAACTTGAAATCGACATAAATTAACAATAATTTTTAATCTTTTAAGTCCATCATCCATTAACTATACGGGTCCGTTGACTAGAACGTCAACTATGGAAACAGCTGAACTGGAAGCGGCTCTTCGCAGGGAACAATTTTTTGTTGTTCCATCTTATAGTGAGGCTATGCTTCTTCATCCTCAGGTTTGTTTCTATCTTTCACAGCCATTCAAACTTCACTCTTCTCTAGAATGCTCTTAATGCGGCTACTGAAGCGAGAATATTTTCACGACCAATTGTAACAAGTAACGAAAATGTCATTTTACCAAATTATGGTGCTCTGGAAGACGATCTAGGACAACTTCCTGTTTTCTCTCGCACACATCGTGTTCTAAGCACGAGTCGGAGCATGAATCTGGATGAAAAGTTCATCTTTGCTTCGACTTCAATTATATATTTTTCTTCTTTTAGTGAGCTGCCGGGTCAAACAAACTTCAACCGAGCAGTACCTGCTCGCACTCGTTATGCTCCACCACGATCATTATCAATCAGTGGAATAACATCAACTGGAGGAGCTGGTTGGTCAAATGGTTATCAAATAATAGGGGAAACAGAAGATCAAACACCATTAGTTGCAAACGATGATCCTCCTCCACCTTATGAGGTTATCAGGCGTAGACAAACAAACATGAAAGAATAATAATTTACAGATTGCGTTAAGGATGTGTGCTCCAATATATGAAAGATTACGTCGTTCAATATCTTCTAGGCTTAATTCCATATCCCATTCCAGTTCCAAAGAGCTCAAATCATCAACCAATAACAACAATAATAATAATAATGGAAACTAAGAAAATCTATAAACATTTAGCAAAATATTATAATCCTAATTAAAACTAATGGGTATTGATGGGAAGTGCTTCGAAACTATCCATCTGCACGTATGTGCCTACGTGGAAATATGCAAATGACTCACAGAATTCTTTCCTTCCAACATAATGTTTTCCTCATATTATATTTTATTAATTAAAAGAGGTTAAATATATAGATTTATTGTTATCAATGAATATTTACATATTTATCTATTAAACTTTTCTTCCTTATTCGTCTTACTTCTATGCTAATTTTAAGATACACGTAATCGTATGCTAATTGAATATTCATTTCAACTTACATGAGGTCGAGTGAACGGTTGCATTCTTTTTCTCTTTATCTCTCTCTCTCTCTCTCTCTCTCTCTCTCTCTCTCACTCTCTTTATTCTAGTCCTCTTATTCCTTTTCCTTTTTCGGCAACTACACCCGGTAAAGTCGAGTTCATAAACTACATGGGAAGTTTGATGTTTCCTATAAAGGCGGGAAGTTCATCTTTTATCTTATAAGTTTTTCTAACCTTTGCATTCCATGTATCGTTTTCCTTTATACTCTCTTTGTCGCCCTCTTATTCTCTTCATATCTCCTACGGTTCAAGTATCTTGCATCATATGCTGCAAAACAGATAAAGATCGTTGTATATGCCAGCAGGAACAATAGGTAAAGTAAAACCTGTATATGATGCTTACAAAAAGAAAAAGTAAAATTTATTGTTTTTTTTTATATGATCGGATAAATTACTCGCTGATCACAATTAATATTTTACAGCTCAATCTCATTATCCTCTTCGGATGCGATTGATTTTCCCAAGCTTTTAGAGCGTTTTAACGTTTCTGTCTCTCACACTACTGTGCTCTAACTCTCTTCTCAAAATTCTTCTGTTCTCTCTATTCTATTATTGCTAAGACCATACCATTCTACAGAGCAATTGTCACTCTTTTTAATGCTTAGACTTTAGTGTGACTCTCTTGATTCACCACAGTTCGCCGTTCATTATAATTCAAAGATCAAACAGCATCAGATGTGAAGAGTTTGGTTATCCTAGAGATAACACCCAAAATATTGTTCTCAACATATTCATTATCTGTTGAGTTTTCTCTTTCAGCTCCTTTTGATGTCTGTTCTCTTAGCAATCTATCCATACGTCATTTACTTCTATCGACCTCTTATACTCTTTTCTCCTCTTCAATATATCCTCTGTTTTCTATAATTCTCTATCATCTTCTGTCTCATTCTGTTTACGGTTTGTGTGCCTTGTCCAGGAAATGGGCAGGTTCGGCATCGCCAAGCTCCGCCTAAACCTAAGGATGGATGGGATCGCCGAGTGGACAGCAGGACGACCCACCCTGAAAGAAGATTGGGGAACCCCTTTACCTTTCATCCTTTCTCTTTTTTTGTGTGTCAAAGAACACTAACATCGCACCCTCCGACTTCGTTTACATTATTCTTAATTATACTATTTTCATTCAATTATGCTGAAGAAATATGAAGAAAGATACAAAAAATCAAAAGAAGCAATTATGGTGATCAATAAAACGCGAACATACGTTTAGCCGCTACTGTTTCTCAATGCTGCTCTCGAAAGCTTGACCCCTGTCATTCATTGTACTATATTTCAGTATATGAATTTTTCTCTTTATTCATCAAGATTTGTTAATAACTCATAAAGTTGTGCACAGAACTGTGTCGAAGTATGTACTTTACGTACAAAACTACCAAGGAAAGCCTTATAAGGTTAGACAATTGAAAATGAGTTAATATCATCATAATCTACCTTATGTAGTTTGTTTTCATTGTTCAATACATTATCGATCCCATTTTTAACTCTTTTTCTTAATTTCTGATAATTACTTACTAATATTGAATTTTGTTTGTAATTGATAACGAAGATGCCACGATTTTTTGCTTTGATTCGTTGTCTACTCTTTCGTGTTGATGAGAATTCTTATTATGGATTCTTATATGTTTCCGATCCATCGTCTGCTTCGTTTGTCTTCTTTACTTATTTGGCTATTGCAAAATTGCTTTGTCAGTAGCTATTCTTATCTATTTATGTATATATACAGCTTCAAATGGCCAAAACAAGCCCTTCGCATTTCGATGACAGGCTCATTGATATCAGCCTCATACGTCGCTCTTTCTACTTATATGATGATCATCAGCATGATATATATATAGAGAGAGAGAGAAAGTGAAGAAGAGAGGAAGAGAAAACATTGTGAAGTTGCCATATTTGATGAATGGTCTTGTCACCTTTAGCAATGTTACCTCGGTTGCGATTAGAGCGATATCTTGCTAACTTAACATGCAATCGGTGAAAACAATCATGATTGGTTGCGGAGGCACTCCACGTGTAACTCACGTATTTCAAACATGATTAACATAATCTAAGTGAATGTTTATTTCATTTCTCTAGGAGAGACACGTACAGTACGGTTGTGTTTTAAATATTTTCGCCTTCTTAATTCAGTCTTCTTCATTATCTATTCTTCTCCTCAAGATATAAACTTGACGTTCCCATTCTTTTCTTCAGCTCATATGTTTACGTGAAATGAAACGCACGTGAAGAGAAATATTATCTAAGACTTTCATCAAAAATCATAAGCCCTTTGTGATTGTTCTTTTTTGTTCTGGAGAATTTCGCAATTAGTCGTATCGTGGGATCAAAATATTTTTTTAATTAATACCGTTTTACAGTTTCATATTTCAACAGGTTGGGTCCCCGCTTGTCTCACTATGGAGAAGTGCGGCAAAACGATTTACGCTAATGCCAAGGTACTTGAAGCTATCCGTGATCAAGATGTTGAAATCACTGTAACTGTACGGAAAGCAAAGGCTAAAGTCGTCGTTCTCGGTAACTCAGGTAACTTACTTCTATCCGTAATACAATGATATCAGCAAGAAAAAAATTGCTTTCGCCAAGAAACTCCATTGATGGAGATTATATGACCCTGCATGTTGGTCAAACATATGCGGTTTATCTGTTGAAATGATCACATCAATCATATATATGAATATACAATTATGAGAGAGCAGAGTTGTAAATTTCGAAATTTTGGGATAATCTCAGCTATTTGATCGTTTCAGGTGTTGGGAAAACATCCATCATTTACCGCCATCGTTTCGGTGAACGTTCAACTCCTTTCAATGCGACTATCGGAGCTTCATTTGTCACTTGCGATGTGTAAGACTCACTTCTATCTTGTGTTTTCTACGCTTTCCTTTTTTTCAGTGACACCCCTTCGGAAGAAATGCGTCTCCAAATATGGGATACAGCAGGACAGGAAAGGTTCCGATGCATGGTTAGCAGTCACTAATATTTTTCGTTGAAAATTCTTCTTTTTCAAGGTCCCGATGTATATGAGAAATGCTGCTGCAGCAATAATTGTATATGACGTCACCAACAGACAATCTTTCCTTGACGTCGATAAATGGGCGAACGGTGCATAGTTATCGTTCTTATTCATTCTCATATAAATGTTCCAGAATTACAACGATGTTGCGGAGATTCTGATCCTGTACTAATACTAATTGGTAATAAGGTAAATTCGGTTCTTCTCTCCTTAATATGTTTCAAACTTCAGACTGATCTTGTCGAGAAACGACAGATAGCAAAAGGAGAAGGTGTAAATAAAGCTTTGCGTCTCAACGCCAGGTTCTATGAAATTTCCTCAGACGATCATTCAGGTAACAGCTTCAATGTCTTCTCTCTCATGTTGCTTATTCTTTCAGTCTTCAACACTGTTTTGGAAGATCTGGCCCAAGATGTTCAAACAAGAGGTCTGACTGTTGAGCAACATCGGGAAAAGATGGTATCACCTACTATATGTCCGGAAATGGAAATTATCGGGGATAAACAGGTCAACAAACGCAAATGTTGTTCTCTCGTTTAACCAGTGCCTGGAGGTGGTGATCATGCAGTTTCAATACAGCGATGGTTATATTCTTTTCCCTACAAGTTCAGCTCGGAAATCTTTGAAATATTCCATCAACCCTTAAGTTCACCTGTTACTTCGTTTTCTCTTTCTGAGGCAGACTTACTTATTTTCTTAATAACTCGAAAGATCTCTATTCCTCAAAGTCTTTAACTCACAATCAACTTCCATATGTGAAATGAGCGCCACTTCTGCTCTCTTATGTGATGTTCCTAAGTATATATCTGGTCGTTTTTTATACTTTGATTGCCTAATTTGCCGAATCATTCGCTACCCTAACTAAGTCTTTCATATCCACAATTATAAGAACGGGATTATACAATATCATTTGTTTTCCATATACAGTTTTAAGCTTGTTAGTTTGTTTTTGTTAACTGATTGCCTCGATCATGTACTGGATTTTGTGTTCGAATGTACCCGAACTTCAGTGTCCAGATTGACCTTGCTCACTTCTAAACCCTTCATCAAGTTTACTTGCACAGATTACTTCTAATTTTTCACTTTCTTTCTCTCTCTCCACCTTATACTTATCCGAGTTTTTGGTTATTCATCTGATCATTATCGAAGTGTTTCCAAACTTACTCAGACTAAATGAATTTTTCAGCTTTGAACATATAGTAAAGCTCACAAGAATCAAGATTACTTCATAGACAGTAAAACAAGAACGCTTAATGAAATTCCGAGGATTGGTCAGCTTATGTCTACAGAAAGCTCGGCTGGTTCAATTCAATAGCCACTCAAGTTCCAACATGAATGAGAACAAACAACCAGATCTTCTGACCTTTCAAAGTTTGTCTTCTGGTTTCATATGCCGATTGTGCTCTGACAACGTTCTCAGTTTCTCCACCCATTTATTCAATTTTACTTTTCCGTCACTTTTACAACTGAATTTCTAATATGAAAATTTTCAAAAAGATTCTCATATAACCTGTACAATCTAGCTAATTCTAGTTAGGTGCCTCTGGTGCATTGAGATAATTGCTTCGGAAGGCTAACATAACCGGTTGTTTTAACCTGGTCTCTCAATATTTTTGAGAATGACCATACTAAGCTTCGAACAACTTGTAATTTTATGTTTCGGTTTCTGTTTTTTTTCTCAAGCATGCGTTCTAACCATCTGCTCAAACTAAACATTTTTAGAACTGACTTTCCAATCCATGATCTCAACATGAAGTTCTACTGTTTCGTTCTATTGCAACTCTGTTTAGCAAATCAGTTTCTGGATATACAGGTACGTTGAATAGAATGATTTGAAAGTACTACTATGCAACCTTATTTCAGCTGGCTCCGGACTGTGACGAAGAGTTTAGTGTTGCAGCTATGGCGTTATTGAAACCTCAACTGAACGACTTGATTAGACTAGAACGGATAAACGCTATCTTATCATCATGGTGAGAACTAACAATATACTCAAGGTCAATGAATAATTTCAGCAATAAAGCGATGATTCAAAAATTAACAGAAGTTTCAGTTTTCTTAATGAAAAAAGATGGCTTTGACAGTCGAATCTTTGAGAACCTTAACAGACTATCCCAAATAGCTTTAGAACAGAAGGCTAAAACTCTCCAACAAAAAACTTATCAGGCCCCTGATAATGTCAGAAATGTAAGATTATCCTTTCAAGGATTTTCTGATTTTTCAGCTTTCAGATCATGAGTCAAATCGTCTCTATCAACCTCAATAAGTCATTAAGTGGCAATGAGAAAATAGCCTGGGTCACAACTGCATTGATAGATTTACAACCTGAACAAAGAAAAACTATTCAGAGGCTTCTGACTCAAGAGTTTATGATCGAAGTAGCATCTTATATATGTAGATTCTCTGTACTTTTCGTTTCAGTCGTCTACAACAGTTATACCCATCAAAGCTATTGTTCGTACCAGTTTTCCAATAAAGGGGAACACATCAGATGAGGAAGAATTTCTAACAACATCTCAACCAGTGAGTAGATTTTCAAATTCATCATATTTTTTTTCAAGAAGTTCCCTCCATCTTTCGAAATCAAGAAAGATGCCGAAGTACAAGAAACTGTTTTTGGTACGCCGATCAATCATAACATCATGCTAGAAAACACTTCAGAGCGTACGGTTTTAAGGATTATGATTGTTTTTTGAAATGAGTTGGTTCTAGAAGAAACCCGAAAGGATAGTCCTATTTATGGTACACCCAAGCCTTTGTCTGTAGTACCACCAGCAATTTATAATAAATATGACCCAGGAGCTAGATACATTGATTTGATGACTAAGGTAAGAACTTTGATAGCATTTGATCCAGGATTTCTTTATACTTCAAAGTAAGGAAGAGAGGAGCGGTTGTGTCTTGAATCTTTTAATATTTTGTTGAAAAGTAACTTTTCAGAATGCGAAACCAGAGTCATCAACGTCACACATAGGTAATTTCGGAACACCTATACAACCAATAATACACTCACAGGGAAAGCCACTATCTGTAAGTAACACCCACATTTCATAATTTGTGTGTTTTCTAACGTTGCAGGCAGTAGAAAATGAGTTACTTAAAGCAAGAAACATGCTTTGGAGAGATGCTGTAGATTTGATCGACAGAACTGATGGTATTCCTGACGTGTTGAAAAATCTTCTCCGTACAGGACTGGTACCAAATGGAGTGTCATCCGGAACCGCGGTTCAAAAGTTTGATCATACTATCTTTTGTTCCAAATTGTCCTTGTTTAGCCAGTTGCCTTCGAACACTTTCCCCTTACCAGCAGAAGCATACGAACAGAAAAGAATGCTGAGAGGTATTCTTCGTTCTTTTTTATTTTCCTTCATTCGTAGTATCAGATAATAATCAGCAAAGTATGGAAGGTGCTGTTCTATCTGCATCATCTGATGATCCAAAAAGTATCATTGTACCAGTATCGTCTTTCAAATCACTTGAACGCTTCGATACATCTGTTGGTCGCTTCGATAAGACAGGACCATCAAATAGGTATTCCAACAAATTTAGACTTTCTTCAGTCTCTTTTCAGGATCGCTCTCTCCGCATCTCCTGGAGAGCATATACCAGCTCTACCCATGAGAGGCATGGAAACAAATCAACAACCTACTAATAAGGCTCCTTCCCCGACCCATTTGCCAACGAATGAACATATTAAACATCCCGAAAACGGTATGAAAACATATCCAGACTATAGGTAAACTTCGAAATCTTTTCCTGAACATGAACCATGTGTTAAGGGAAGGCTTGTTTCCGCTTCATGAAAACCATGCCAAACCTCACATCCCCGAAATGAAGGCGATAATACCGAGAGAAGGAGGAGAATTTTCTAAGGACATCAATGATAAAACAAACGGCAAAGGGAAAGGTGATAAAGCTTTCAAAATCTCAAGCAAATTTGCTCATAGGTCTGAATATCCAAGATCCAGCTGAATATGCTGAAGGAGGAACGGTTCTCATAGAGAACTATCCAAACAGGCCTTATACTATGCAAGAAAGACAAAAACAAAAGATAGGCGATGATTTATCGGAGTCTGATCCAATTGGAGCTATCCCTATGGGAAGGTATGAGATCTTTAATATACAAAGGAACACAACACTATTCCAGATTCAATAAGGAATTTCCTCATTATCCCCCTCCTCCTCCTTTAGTATTGCCCACTACTACGGTGATTTCAGGTGAAAATAACTAATCGTTACTCATATATAACTCACACTCCTTTCAGTAATTCAAAAATCAGCGGAAAATAGAAATAAACCGATTGATAATCGCTTTCCCTATTTTCCTGACATGGGTTAGTTTCTAAGAAAACGGTGCTCTAGTGTAATATTCGTTTAAGAAAAACCAATCGAAACAAACCCCCCTATCCTATCATACAGAGGGCCCGAAGAAATTACGGGAAGTCATCTCATGCTTAGGAATGTTCAGAACGTGAGGCATCACGGCAACAACAGATTTGTTAAAATAGATTTATTGAATGAATAAAGTGAAAGGTATTTACACAGATTATGCGGTTATAGCTTAGTGAAAATGCATCCCAGTGGTCCCTGTAGTTCCCGTATGTCCTCTAGTAGTCGGCACAGAAGCTGTTCCAACATAATGTTTAGCAGCTAAAGAAATATTCACAAAACATTTATAATGTTCAAGAGTTACAAGTAGGGGAAAGTTTCACGTATTACAATATGATTATGCACTTCGAAACGCGTTAGACGTCGGAAAACAAAATAAAGCGGTTTTTAAAGCAGACTGGAAACTTACAAAGGCTAAGAAAGGGGCAATGAAAGATTTGAATGATACAAGAGGTGAGTATTGGATAACAGGATAACTAACAACAATCATTTCCTCCATCCACAATAGGAGTTCCAGAGAAAAGGAAATAACCAATTGATTCTGCTACAACTATGCATATTATTAGATATCCATTGAATGTCATAGCAATAAGCATCAGTACAAAAGCAAGAAGAACCTGAAGAGTTACTTTGCGAAGAGTTAGGAGAAATCATGGTGAACCTGAAGTCCATAAAGAGCTGCTTGAATAATCCTGTACTTAGTGAACAATCTCTTTGTGAATCTATTAACACAGTATTAACAGTATGCAGTTTTCTCATTGATACCCATTCAAATTCAACAAAGGTGCAAATGTAACACTATCAGCAGATATGTTATCGCCAATGGAACTGTTTCCACGGATGGCAGCTTGTCTTCTACGGTTCTAAACAGATAAATGAGTAAAAAGACTTCAAAGAAAACAAACCATATTATGACTTTGAGCCAAAAGTATACGAGCACCCTTGATACCTTCATGAACAAAACATAATAAGAATGTGATTAAAAGGGAAACTGCCAACCCTAGCAAAAGAACAATTTATATTAGCGGAAGTAGAAAACTTACCCCAAAACGATCCTGTTTTCCAAAAACTGAACAGTATAATTTCGCGATCACCAAAATGAATGAACATGCTCATATTCATTTTGATAATACGAATTCAGGCTTTTCTTTTATATTTTAAGTATACTGAAGGAAGAATGCAACTCCGATAAATATTACGAGGTACGGTTGATTAGCAGAGCATATTTAACTTCTTGCGTATACATTTACGTACTGACGACTATTTTCACAAGTAAAGAATTCATTTAAAAGTTTATATTAAGTTGTGCCATTGTTTATCTACAATTTTAGCACGTAATATGTTCAGGAAAAAACATAAAACTCGTATACTCTAAAACTCCTTTGCACTATTTACAATTTTGTTTCAAAGTTTCATGTAATTTGGTGCAATATTTTTAGTTGCTTTAGTTCCCAGATACTAGTTGTATCTTCGAATCATTTTTCGCTTGTAGTAGCTCAATGCAGTCGTTGTATATATTCAACTTGTCTTTTGTGATCGCAATACTATTTCTTTAACAAAATTTTGAAAAAAGCTCTGCAGATG